TTAACGAAATTGGGTAAACACAACTCATATATCTTATCTATTCGTAGTCTTGAAAACCTACTCACTCACATAAAAAATACTAGAAATCGACTAGGCGCCCACAGTTTGCTCACATTACATGGGTTTAAGCAGGAAGAGAACTCGTGAAGGAAATACAAAATGTCTGCAGGCATGAGTAGCCGAGCCTAGGCGTTTTGCTCGGTGTGGCAACAGTGCTCATGCTTTTAGAGGCTCGAGAAAGAAACGGATCTACGGGTCCATGATGGGAATCCGGTTTGGAGGTCCAAGTCGGATCAGCCAATAGAAAGAGAGGGAGACGAGATGAACAGTAGTTGTGATGACGCCACGGTAAACTCGCCAAAAGGACACACCTCTTGAGGTGTGGAATGTGAACAAGTCAAAAGTATGGTGGTATGGCGGGAGTGGGATAAGAGGGTAAGGAGTAGATAGATGTCCCAGGACAGTAAGAGGAGTGATAATGCAACCGTTTCGTCAGAAAGTTTGTCGAGGGATTGACTTCTTCTGTCTCTTTGACGAGGTGTTGCTTGGTGCTGAAAATGGAAAGACTTAATGATGATGTTGGCGAAACGTCTGAGAATGTACCAATTTCACGGTACTACTATAGCTTAGGACTTCAGAGAAGGTGCATCCTACTAAGTCCCCCTGACAACAAAGCCTAACCACTTCTATAGACTGTGTGATCCCTCCTGCCGGGATACCAACGTAGAAATATGCTACATGGAAATCGTCTAGTCAACAACCGACTAGTTCTGTTTGCAGTTCCTAAGCGATAACTTCTGTGTCTCGAAGACCTGTTGAGCTTATTTTCATTTCGAGTGAAAGTGTTCGGTGAAGAAATTCGAAGGGGCGTCCTATGCTGTTTCTGAAGTAATCTCCCTTGAATCCGCTCAAAATGTGTTAAGCACGCACATCAGCAGAACAAGAAACCCTAATTTACGAAAAAAGAAGATACTTTAAGCTGAAATCATACATATGCAAACACTTGAAGACACATAAACTCGCACATACACATACAAACTCTCACATGCTACGAGGTTGATATATGACTGGAACTAACCAAAATCACTTTTACCTCATCAAAGAGGTCCGATGTAGAGTATATATACCGCTTTTTACGGATGAGCCGGTAATTTTTTTTGACTCGTTATCTTGAATTTGGTTGTTAGGATGATACCTGATATGACAGACGAAAGCCTAGCATGTTTTCATGGGAATCGAAGGAGATCACCTCTGAAACAGCCTCAACAAGAATGTTCCAGTAAAGCCAAATGACGGCAGGTCAAGAGGAATCCGTCGTCGTCTTCTGGTGGGATCGACCTTAGACTCTCTTCAGCAAACACTTTCATTAAAAATTGCAAAACGGTCAAGTTGTAGCTCGGTGCCAACGATGGAGAGGTTTATTGGCGAGAGAAGATGCCTTGTTGGGAGAAGACACTTTGAGGCCGACTTCCAGTTTGAGTGAAATTTGTACGAGAAAGAGCAACGTGTTTCGACGACTCGTCCCTCTTGACCAGCCTCCGTTTGGCTTCGCTGTAGCCGCTTGTTTCCGGTGACAACGAGACGCATGAGGCGCCTCGAAGACACTCATTTTTTCAAGTCTGTGCCAAGCAACAATGCCAACAATGCAGATGAACAATACAGCCTTCGGTGGAGTCGTAGTCTTCTTTAGACGTGACGCAAAAGTGGCTTTCTTCGAGTCCTTGGATGGATGGCTCGCCGACCTGCGACTGCGAGGAGTCCCCGTCAACTTCAACCACGCATGCTGGGTTTGAATCTCGTTTCAAGTGGCAGCAAGACCGGCTCATCGCACATCCTTTCAGTAAATATTCTGCTAATAGTTTCGAACCTTCGTGAACTTCGCCGTCACCCCGTCCAATCGGTTCACGAAAGAGAGTTCATCCGTACGCCCATCGGCAGCATCACTTCTAGACAGAAGATGGGAAGGCGATCTGTTGTCTTTCAGTGGATTGGTACAGTTGGAATGTGACCATCGACAACATAAGATCGATCCGTTTGTCCGGGCTAAATGAGCCCGGGCAGACATGGCAACTGAACTGATGCCTGATTGGCTGCAGTGACTTGCCCATTAGGCTAGCCAATCAGAAGCCTAGTCAGGGCATTCAAGCTGTGTTCTGATTGGCTGGCGCCACCGCCCTCATTAAATTGCCCGACTGATGGCGACTGATGGCCAGTTCGTTGTGTCGAAATGCCGCCGGATTGACGTTTTGTTAGCCGGTCGAGATGTCGACTTCCGAGGCTATGACGGTCTCGTCGAAGCGACGACTCTTTCAGGACGTCGAGTTCACAGCCATGAGCAGTCTGGCGCCGTTAGTGAAAATATTCACCTCGTCCAATCGAGCTGTTCGTCTCATTTGGACCGTCTTCTCTGTCTGTATGGCCGTCCTGCTCATCATTCTGCTCTCTTTGGTGGTGCTCAAATACCTCAGTCACTCTACGGTGTTACGGCTCGACCAACTCACCTTGGTCGACGGTCAGCAACCGCCAGCCGTCACTTTGTGCCTCGGTGAACACATAGTCGCGTTGGATTCCCACAGACGCGACACAACAGCCTCCTCCGGGGCCGGACGAGACGCCGTCTCGAGCTCATCTTTCTCCACTCCCAACATAGTTCGCGGCGTCTCGTTGCCCTGCCAACAGTCGGATGACAGCGTCGTCTGGGTCTCCAGTCGGGACGCCGTTTCGCCCTACTACAACCACACCGGCGTGCCATTTCAGGTCACCATGTTGACGACACCACCGTCCATCTTCTCTTTGGACGTGATTGAACAAGTGCCTAAACCGCCAAATTTGGTCTGCACAACGTTTCAACTCAACGCCAACTGCAAACCCACCAAATTCTGGAAGATGGTACGAGTCCCGTTTGTGCGCTCTATTTGTGTGTATGTGTGCCAAATTTGACTCTCACTAAAGCATCAAATGTGGTAACCGTGACGATAGTTTCAAAACGTTGTCTACAGGGCTTTGTCAATTGATCGCGCCGGCGACTAAACGCCGGGTTGTGACTGTTGGCGTGGGCAACCCTGATCCATCTGTGCTGATCTCTCCTACCGACCGGGTTGACAAATAGCCTCAGACTGTGAAAGCCGGATTGACGAGAAATGCACGAAAACGGTGGCCACTTGAAAGCCCACATAGTTCTTAGGCTTAATCTTGACGACTCAATGAGGCAGTGCATGATTTAGTGGCGGTTTGACCTCGCTTTCGCAACATGGTTGTGTTGTCAGGGCGACCTAATTTGATGTACCCTGTCTGAAGTCCTCTTCAATAGCAAATATAATAATTCCTGGCGTCGTACCGTCGACCTGGTACCTGCTCATCCGTTTCGCCGACATCGTGGTGGGTAAATCCTGTCATTCTTAGCTTCAAACTACAACTCATTAAAGACACAAGGAAAGACCAACTTTCTGTCGAATGGTGGTGCCATCCCTCCTCTTTCTGTCCTGGTACATCTGCCTACTCCCTATTCTCATATCTCACTCTGGCCAGCAACTCCGGATAAGATGGGCTCCTCGATATCGCCCTGACGACATGACCAAGTTGCGCAACCGAGGGAAAACCACTCTTGCATAGGCCATGCCAACAGTCACAGCTCTAAGGCAGGTCTATCTCGGCTGATGGTACCGCCAATTCACAATTTCTCGAACGAATGGTGGCTACGCAAACGTCTCCTCGTAGAATCATATACAAAATGATCAGAATAAAATTTTCCCACCTTCAAAATACCTCAAGAATCCTCCTGGTTGCAGGCCTAGAAGCAAGCTTTTAGCTCAATGAAATGTATTCACCCTATTTCGTGTAAGGTGATGAAGGACTGGTAGTAGAATTTTCCCACAATGAT